CCACTTGTAATTGAAAATAAAACTACTAAACCTTTTTTTCTCCTATATTTGATACTTAACTATATTAATCTAAATAAAATACATAAATTCTCAAGATCCAAAATTTTTATAACGAGATTCGAATAGCTCTTCAGCGATCGAAGCAATTATCTTAGGCCACTTGTAAATGAAAATAAAAACTACAAATCTTTTTTTTCTCCTCTATTTGATACTTAATTATATTAATCTGAATAAAATACATAAATTCTCTAAGATCCAAAATTTGTATCTCAAATTTGTAAATCAGATTTAACAGAAGAGTAAATTTAAATAGAAGCCAATAAGGTGAAACAGAAAGAGAAACATTTATTACAAGGAAATAAATAAAAGCATTTGGAGGGATTAGTTCCAATGGTTATTATAACATAAAACTTGTGTGAAGCATTTCTTTATTATTATCATATATAATATATTTATTGATTCATCTTCTGAATAATTACTTCTTCGATGATTAATCCTCCTTTCCATTTTCCACTCCAAACTTCATAAAGTCCAAAACAAAGGTTGCTATCTCCCGATCGAGAGTCAGTTGTTGTAATGGTAAGATTATTTGGTCCAACATATGATCCATTTGATTCAACATTAGCATCTTTTGTTAAATAAATTTTCTTCCATGATTGTTTTGATCCATATTTTACCATAAAATAGAGGGGTAACTCATTAAATCCAAATGAATCTGGTGTCAATTTCACCTTGAACTTGACTTCATATTTTGTGTCTTTTTCTACTTTGTCACACAACCCTGTTACCTCTAGCCAACTCACTTGTACAAGTGTTGCTGGATCCTTTTCCCTGTTCATCATCAAATACAATCCAACATTACATCACATATCTAAATCAATTTTCAATACAAAATATCCCATTTTTTACTATTCTATCACATACCTACTATTACTATAACAAAAATAATATGTGCATTAGTAAAGAGAATTAAATCATTTACCAACATTAATGAATTATAATTACTCAATCTTCATAAGAATTCACTCTGATTATATGAATATGTAAAGTGTGGCATGTATACTTACTCTTTGGGTGATTTCCAATATCTTCCATCCTTTCCCCAAACGATATTAAAGGCTGAAGGATAAATTCTGAACTGCAAGAAAACTAATATGTAAGAACATTACATTAATTTAACTAGACTATGTTTGAAATTAAAAAATGAAAATGAAGATCAAACTAAACGTACCTTGGTCCCGTTTTCTAACACCTCAGAGATATGATTTCCTACATAGTGTGAATCCTCCATGTTGAATTAAAGTCTTGATAACGTATAAATATTTGAGTTTTATTATTTGCCTACAACCACACACACACACATATATATATAGAGTATAGCTTGAAACCTAAAGTTCCCTTGTCAAGGTTAGCTTTTTAAAGTTATATGCAACCTTTACTCTACGTAAGAAATGCGACGGAATCTCTTAATCGAAATCCTTAAATATCAAAGGTCTTATATTTCAACTTATTCAAATGAATTGTCCTTGTCTGGTTCATGTGGTGTGAATAAGAATTAGTCAGGTCGCTTTGATTTGGAATATATAACGAAAGGTTAAAAAAAAAATAATATGGAATCAAGTAAAGGAGTAAGACATGATATGGGGATTGAAAAGGGAAATTCCTCTTTTAATTTGTGCTTGTATTGCAAGCTTCACTCACAATCGTTAATATTCTCACACGCTAAGTATCGTACGTACCATTTATATTTATCTTCAATATATTTCTTTCATTTTCATAACTTTTTACTAACCATTATTAACTTGGGTTATGCTTAACCAATTATTCATTCAAGAGAGGAAGTAAAAGGTATAATATGTTCCTGTTTAATTTGGCCATGAGAATTATTAACTTATTTTTATAATAATACTTTTTTTACTTTATTTTAAAATGAATGTATCAATTTTCCAACTCCAGCATCACAACATATACATAAACTGGTATGATTTTTTCTCTTCTTCGCAAAAACATCATTGACATCACGTAATAACGCATTTTATATTACCTTCGTGTAAACTCTCAATGCGGATAATTTTTTTATGCTAAACACCTACTTAGTTTGTCTTTTAAATTCACATGAACCATTGGCGTACGTAATGCATGTTACGCGTAGCAAAGGATCCGAAAGTGCATTGTAATTAGTTACCTTTTTGTTTACATTTTCTTTCTTCCAAAAATAGAATTTTGTTTAGGCCTTATATTAGTCAAACTAAATATAAAACTTATCCTATTGCATATTATATTTTAGAAAGTCACTTGAGTAAAGTTTCCAATAGATAATAAGCATATATTAGCTTTTACTATTCGTATAGTTTTTAAATATTTAAATTTTTTGTTTAAAATATTGAATTAATTTAGTATAATTTAAGTTTAAAAAATTGAATATATCTTCATCCCCTCTTGAATACATCTCTATCGTTTCTTGAATACATCTCTCTCCTCTCGGTACATCCATATTCCCTCTCAAATATAGCTCTCTTCTCTCAGATTCATCCGTGAGTTATGTGTCTGCAATGTTTCTTGAATAGCAATGTATCATGATCAATGTATCCGCATGTCTGCTGATAAATCTAAAAAATTTTTAATTCTAAGATTTTTTTTTTGTAATTTGAAAAAAAGTAGAGATATAATGTAATTAACTCTTAAAACAATAAAAATTTATGTCATTTTAACTTTAATTTATGTGACATATTTCTCTGTAGTAAATTTCAAAAGAATGATTTATTAATATATTTAATAACATTTTGACTTTAAAATGTACATGTTATTCTTAGTAAGAAGATTTATAGTCATATGAACATCTATGATTTATTTTAGACCACGAGTTTTAAAAGTATTTTTTTTAAAAAAAAATTCATTTTAAGTCAAATAAATATTTAAATCAAAATGGAGCGAGTACAAACTTTAGTTAGGTTATTTTTTTTTAACTATTTTGTTGTTTAACATTTAAAATGAAAATGCTAAATCCTTTTCATAATTATGTTTTATAGTTTTTTTTTATCAATATCTAGTAGATGATAACCAAAATTGTAATATAAATCAGGCAATAAAGTAACATAATTTTGAAATTCAAGTATTGATATTCATTGAGAAAATATTTATTTATAAATTGTAAAGCATTCATAATCTAATATTTAATATGTTTCTTACTCTCGACGAATGACACTAGTTTATCATGATTCAAGATTGTAAGAAGTAGAAATCACGATCAAAAAGTACAATTCACTATTATATGAAGGTCAATCTGCAGTTTATATATTGTGGAAGTTTCCTAAGTATATGATATATAATTCTATGACAAATTAATTTTTGATCTCATATATTTATACTATTTTAAAATTTATCTCTTTAATTAATTATGTATTTTCTTAAACTACAATTATGCGATCATTATTTATCAATTCTTACATTATCAGCTCTATATTCTTCGTTTTTATCTCTTTAGAATTGTGCTTTTTTGTTTTCTTATTTAAGTCACAATTTTTTAAAATAAATTAAATATTTTCTTGGAGATAAAATAAGTTAAATAAAACTATATGAATATTTTGTGTTTAAAAAGCATTATATATAATTAAAAAGAATTGTGCTATTTTTGTTTTCTTATTTAAGTCACAATTTTTAAAGATAAAATAAATATTATTTTGAAAATAAAATAAGTTAAATAAAACTATATGAATATTTATGTTTAAAAAGCATTATATATTATTAAAAAGGAAATTACATACATATAAGAATGTAGGATTATACTGAATATGTTGTAGTAATAAATATAGATGAATGATTTGAATTGTCAAGAGTATAAAGTAAAAATATTTTTCACATTATTTTTATAATCAAACAAATACAAATTAATTTTTAAAAATAAAATAAAATAAATTTATGGGTCACACATGAAATAGAACTTTCTGTTAATTTTGAAAAAAAAATTGGATTCTTCTAGAAAATTAATTTGATAATTAATTATACATTATAAATTTAAAACTTTGCCCATAATATTGATTAAAATTACAAAATAGGAAAATTACATACATATAAGATTGTAGGATTATACTGAATATGTTGTAGTAGTCACAAATATAGATGAACGATTTGAATTGTCAAGAGTATAAAAATAAAAATATTTTTCACATTATTATTATAATCAAACAAATACAAATTGTTTTTTAAAAATAAAATAAAATAAATTATGGATCACACATGAAACAAAACTTTTTGTAAATTTTAAAAAGAAAAATTGAATTCTTCTAGAAAATTATTTTGACAATTAATTATACATTATAAATTTAAAACTTTGCTCATAATATTGATTAAAATTACAAAATAGTCATTGATCGTTCTCATTATGACTCTTCTATATAATAATAATAATAATAATAATAATAATAATAATAATAATAATAATAATAATAATAATAATAATAAAATATGAAAAAAAATACTTCAAACACGTTAGATACAATCTTGAACTATGTTGTCAAGAAAAGAATATTTAATTTAAGAGGTCCACGTGAGGACTCCAAAAGAAAAAGAGATGAGATCAACATAGAATGGGACAGAAGCATATATTTGTGTGTATAACAAGTTGTAAATAAATCTTATCTAAGCCATACTTTTCTAAAGAAAAAAGTGGCAAACAACCAAATCATTTTCCTTTCTTATCCCTTCCAACCTAGTTGTCAAAATATATTCCTCTAATGTTAATAACTTTATTCTCTAAGAATCCAAGTAATAATGCCTTTTATTGTCGAAAGAAAATAATGTATTTATGTTCTTTTCATACTTTGGAGCATGGATACACGCGTAATTAGGGTGGTAATTGAATATTTATCACTATTGAGGGTTCCATTAACTAGTACTCCATTATCTATAATATTGGGCAAATTACATAAATAACATAATTTTAGAGCAAAATTACAATATATTCCTTAAAAGTATATACTTATAGATTCTCTCAAACGGATATAATAATATAAGCATTGATACATTAAAAAGAGGGTCGGATATATTAATGACCAAAATATTAAAGCAACGATACATTAAAAAGAGGGTCGGATACATGCGCCGATACATTAAAAAGAGGATCGGATACATTAATGGAGGGTCCGTGTCGCGGGGCTATTTTCTCAATCTCGTAAGATAACAATGTAGACTTGCACGGATCTACAAATGCTCAATCCTAACACACAAAAATCGCAAAAGAGTGCAGCAACAAGACAATCTCAAACAGTTCACACAAGCAAACGAAAGGCAAAATCGGAAGGCCAAAGTTGGGAGGCAAGTGCCAATATTCTAGTGTATTTCTATAAGTCCTTTTACAAGAGTGAAGTGTTGGATTTTAAAAAGGTGTGAATGGAAAATGAAGAGTTGCGACTTTTATGAAGAGTTGTGACTTTTATGAAATGTTGCGACTTTTATGAAAAGTTGTGAGTTTTATGAAAAGTTGCGACTTTTATGAAAAGTTGTGACTTTTATGGAAAGTTGTGACTTTTATGAAAGGTGACGACCTTTCTGAAAGATTGTGACTTTTCCAAAGGTTTGCGACCTTTCCGGTAAGGCACAATAAGAACCTTTACGCACTATCCTTTGTTTTCAATAAATTGAGGGATTTCCTCTCATTTTAAATAGAATTTATGGACTTCTTCTTCAACTACTAAATCTAGTATTCTAAGTGTACTTTAATGCCGTTGAGTGATTCGCTGACACCGGAATTTTTGGTATCTATACTCTGGTGATTGAGATCATTTTACCCTGGGAGGTCATATTCCAAATCAAACCTCGGATACTAGAGGGAAATAATTTCCTTAAGGGGACACTGTGAATTCAGTGGACTTGATCTTTTTCCTATTAAAACTTTCCCGATTCTAGTACGTGTTTTACAAACTTTAGATTTGTGAATTAATTTCAGTTCTTCTATTCTTTTGTCCTTCACTTGTTCATTAAACTTGGTAACTTCGTATTTCTGCAAAATTTGTTGGAATCAGTAAGATTCTTTATACGCATATTAACAACAATTCTTCTTTAAGAAAAGTATTTCATATATTTTTTTTTAAATTTGTTTTTTATTCTAGTTTCGCTACTAGTTTTAATTTTCTAGTCGTGAAAATGTTCTTAACCTTTGTTTTCTTACAAAGATGTTCAAGGTTTTGTTCTAAGTATGTTTGGAATACAAGATGAACAACATGAAGTTCTTAAAAACTTCCTACAAATAGCTAATAAACAAGCTAAAACGTGATGGAACAATGTCCTAAAAGAAAAGCTAAAAATGGAAACTTTTACAAAAGTTAAAAGTAGGGGGGAAAGATTGCTACTTTATTTCCTAAAATCGCAGGTGCATTCGTCAAGCCAAAAGGCATGACCAGACATTCAAAGGCTCCATAACGAGTCACAAAAGTTGTCTTTGGTTCATCACATTCGGCAATCCGAACTTGGTAATAACATTTCCTC